TTAACACACAATGCAGTTTCCAAAACAGTCAAAGGCATGGAAAATAGAATGAGTTTTTGGAGTCAGTGTAATAAAATCTAGAAGGGAGAGAGGGAGCCCTGAGTCCCACCATTAATTAGCACTGTGAAAGCAACAGGCTGATCACAGTCAGGCTATCAAAGCTAATCTGTGTGTGCATGAAGCTGAGGCTTAGTTTGGTTTTTAAGAAAAACAAACACAAGCTTTTGCATCGTGGTTCAAGCAGAACAGAATGTAGTCATTTCAGCGTCAACTTAAGGATCTTGCTTTTTGTGTTGTTGTTTGTTTTGTTTTGGGTTTTTTTTTTTTAAGTAGGGCCTCGTTACACATCCCAGACTGGTCTCAGATCTGGGAAACCTTCCTGTTATCCTTCCAAGGGCTGGAATTATAGGGGTGTGCTACTACATCCAGTTTTAACTTGAAGCTTTCAAAAGTTCTTGATCCTCTTTACTTTCCTTTTATTATTTTTTTATTTCAGGAAGACTTTCTATTTTTAGCTTGTAGACCCATCCCTTTCCTGCAATTTTTCCTCCTAATATCCATCCTTGGGTCAATATCTGTCTCCACATAGAAGTACAGATTCATCCTTGGGTCAATATCTGTCTCCACATAGAAGTACAGATTCCTTCGGTAGTAACTCGAGAAGTATTAATGGTAGGAGGCAGTAGCTATGAGAGCTATAAGACCTGAGTTCTGCCACCAATGGTCTTAGTGACTGTCCATAGGTATTTTTCTTTACCATGATTGGTTCCTTCTATGTAAAATATGAGAAATTTGATCTAGACTATGTCTAGGGTTCTTTCTGGTTTCAATAGTCCATGACAATTATTTTTTAAGAGCCTTTGAGGGGGTAGAGAGATGGTTCAGCAGTTAAGAGCACTGGCTGCTCTTCTTAAGGATCCAGGTTCAATTCCCAGCACCCACGCGGCAGCTCACAATTGTCTGTAAATCCAGTTACAGGGAATTCAACACCCTCACGCAGACATATATGTAAGGCAAAAAACCCACCAATGCACATAAAATAAATAAATCATTAAAAAAGAGCCTTTGAAGTTTTTAAGCTTTCTGTCTCCTCTCTTCCCCATTAGT